CTGGTGCTAGACCATTAGCTCCTCAAAGTCATGAAGGACCATGACCATTTCAGGACCTGGCACAGAGTAGGCGCTAAACACACATACAGATCAAAAGAACTGGTCTTTCAATTCACGACACATTCTTCTGTTCATCCCCAAAGAACTCTCCTGTTGCTAACACTGAGATGAAAAAGTTACATGAGCAAAAACAGTGCATAGAGTTGCCATACCTAGGACTCTTCAAACAGGTTGGCAGGGATAACCTAAGACCTTTAAAAGCCTGTAGAAAAAAAGACAAGACTTTATTTAGCTGAATCTTATTTTATGGGAACAGCGCTGGGTCTCAGGTTGGTTATGCTCTTGATTTGTGCCTGAAACTCAGGTGAGGCAGAAAAAGTAATACAGGAAAAAAGGATTGATACTCAAAGGCATAGAATATATGGTTAGCAGAGATTACACAAACTCAAGAGTTGGCAAATATGTGGAGAAACTGGAACCCTCCTACACTGTTGATGGGAATGTAAAATGGTACAGACCCTTTGGAAAACAGTCTAGCAGTTCCTCAAAAGCTAAACAGTGTTACCATATGACACAAAAATTCTACTCTTAAGTATACATCCATGAAGTTTAAGAATATGTTTCCAGCCCAGCTGGTGTGGCTCAGTGGATTGAGCGTCGTCTCATGGACTGAGAGGTCCCAGTTCGATTCCCGGTCAGGGCACATGCCTGGGTTGTGGGCTCGATCCCCAGTGTGGGGCATGAAGAAGGCAGCCAATTGATGTATCTCTCTCATATCAATGTTTCTATCTCTCTGTCCCTTCCTCTTTCTCTAAAAACCTCAATAAAAACATACACACACACACACAAAGCAACTCTGTTTTAAAAAAGCACATAAATATATATTTATATATTTATACATATATATACGTGTGTGTGTGTGTATATATATATATATTTCCACACAAAAAGTTATATGTGAATGTTTATAGCAGCATTATTCATAATAAAGATTGACAACAACCCAAATATCCATCAGTAATAAATAGATAAATAAAATATGGTATGTCCATACACTGGAATATTATTTGGCAGTAAAAAAAAAAAATAAAGTACTTATACATGCTAAAACATGGATGAACCCTGAAAACATTTATGCTAAGTGAAAGAAGCCAGTCACAAATGACTATATAGGACCACATGTTATATGATTTCATTTCTATGAAATGCTCAGAATAGGCAAATTCACAGAAACAGAGAGCAGACTGAAGGTTACCAGGGGATGGTAGGGTAGGGGGAAAATGGGGAGTAATGGTGATGGGTAAGGGAGTTGCTTTTTTTTTTTTAGAACATAAAAATGTTCTAAATGGTATTGTTCTGATGGTCTCACAACTCTGTGAATGTACTAAAAGCCAGCTAATTGTACACTTCAAATTGACGAATATGTGGTATGTGCATTGTATCCCAATAAAGTTGTATCCCAATTTTAAAAAAAGAAAAAAAGCCCTGGCCGGTTTGGCTCAGCAGTTGGAACATCGGCCTGTGGACCAGAGTCCTGGGTTCAGTTCTTGCTAGGAGCACGTACCAAAATAAATAAATAAATAAAACTAAAAAGAGGCAGGGTGTGAGGCTGGGACCTCCAGAAACCACGGCCGGGATCGGAGTGACTGCTTCTCCTGCCTGTGACAGGCCCTGCGAGAGAACGTGGCTCTCTTTGCTGCCCACCTTCTTTAAAGGCTCACACGGCTGACCTCCCATACAGGCCTGCTTTATTTATGAGATGATATGGCTGCAGTAAGCTATTCTGAAAGCAATCTGTTTGTTATCACTCTTAAAAACATCAAATGAGTAACTCATCAGACAAGGAAACGAGCTTACACAATGAGCTCTGATGAGATGCTTTCCAACGGATACAAAGGTGAAATGGCCTGAAAGTTGGGACCCACACCTGGCTTGCTCACATCAGGCAGATAGCTTTCAAGAAGAGGAAAAGCCTGGGCTATTCAAAAAAACCCTGAATGATCTCCCTGCTCTAGGACGTGGGGTGCATGGCACCTGCTGGGCGCCAGCCTTTAGAAAGAAGCTATGTGCTTCCACCTTCATACCCACCCTATGGGAAAGAAGGAATAACCCCCATTGAATAGGCAAGAAAATAAACTCAAATTGCAACAGAAACCATCTTAAAGGAAGCCTGCCCTCGGCCGCACAGTGGTCTGACTCCAGAGGCCACGCACTCGCCACCTGCCCACGTGGCCTTCCGCTCCGGGAACTGGCAGAGGCAGAACTGCTTCTGCGACTGCGCGAGAGAACCCAGGGCAGAGGCTTCCAGGCTCTGCGTCCACTCCCTTCGTCCCGGGACACCCTTGGCAGTTGGGTAGATTTGTAGTCTAAGGGCCTAAAATCAGAAGTAGACAAAAATTCACCCGTCACTCACCAGGGCAGATACAAACCTCAAGATAATTTCTTTTCCAATGGTTTCTGCTTAAAGTTCTGGTTTGGCATTGGCGTCTTAACAACTAACAGCTGTAGGCAATTTTCACACAGAATAAAGACATCAATAAGGCAGAACATGGAATTTTCTCCCTTATGAAGACAGAACAATGAGCTGTCTTCAAGACGTACATAGAGCTGCCACCACACAGGGTCTGGCTCAGGTCTCACTTGGGAAGGATGACAGACTTGACTGAAAGGACAATGGATGTGGATACTTTGAGGGCACAAGCTGTACCCACCAGCTCCATGACCCCTGAGGTCTTTATCTACCAGCAACATCTGTCTCCTTAGGTTGACTTTTGATTTTGAAATGCTTTTAGTGGGAAATAAAACCACGCCTGTCAATACATCATTATTGCCCGTCTGGACAGCCATCATGGCAGATGATTCACTGCCCCTCCCTGGGAGAAGATTATGTACCCTCCACCCACACCGTGACCTCAGGCTTGGCCATGTGACTTATGGCACCGGTCTTGACAGAAGGGTGATATGTCCCCGCCCTGTGAACTCAGGAGTGGCCATCTGATTTGCCTTGGCCAAGGAAATGTGAGCAGAGTGACATGCGTCATTTCCAAGCACGAGCTTCGAGCCCCACTAGCAATTTACCATGCCTCTTTTTTTCCTTTTTATTCAATTTATTGGGGTAACATTGGTTAATAAAATTATATAGGTTTCAGGTGTACAATTCTGTAACACATCATTTATATATTGTATTGTGTGTTCACCACCCCAAGTACTATGCCTCTCTTTCCTCTTCCACCAGGGTTGGGTCTTGGGCAGAACATGGAGAGGAGCGGAACCAAAGCTGACCCATACTGGTTGCATCTGCTGTTGTAACCACTGAGGTTTTGCTATCACAGGAAAAACTAGCTTAAGATGACCAAGTCAGTCATTAACATCCATCCCTCCACTTCCCTCCTCACCTCAATTGCTCCTCACAACTCACTTCCTCCAGAAAGTTTCCCCTGGCCGCCCTCCTCACCACCATGTCCAACACCACCACAACCCCTTTCCACACAATTTATGCATAAGTGGGTTGTGATGCTTCTTTGGTGGTATTACACCTTTACTGGTCCCCTTCTGCTGCTGACATGATCAGCCCTTTGGGAGCAGGCTCTAGTTTTCTATTTCGAACCTCTCATTAACACCTAGAACAGAGTTCTGTATGCAGTGACGATAGCAGAGGGTACAGATTCCTGAAACACTGAATATTCAACATCATGAAGTATAAAATTGCTGCCAAGAGTCATCTCTTCTTTTTGCCAACCTGTTCCTGTTGGTAACAGGACCATTCATCTGCTCAGAAGACCAGAACTCACAGTACTCCCTCAGGTTGGCTCATCTTGTAGGAAAGGCTTAGAGGTGAACTGTGGTCTAGAAGAGCTGATGCACCTCTGGAGGGCAGTGACACAGCCTCCGTTACGTTCCTGACACAGTCTTGCTAAACAAAGCACTTTCTAGTATCTGCCGAACAATATCAACGGTCTGATTAGAACGAACTCCCTTACAAAATGCCAGTGGTGACCAAGACAGGACAGAGCGCTCATGTAATACTTACAGCGCACCAGTGAGGACCAGGCATTGGGCCATTACTCTATTTATTATTCTAATTTAAACATTACATCAAATTAGGAGAAGTATTATATTTTCCTCCACTTTCCAGAAGACAGGCTCAGAAAAGCCATATGCTTTTTCCATCTTGATGATAAAGTCAGAGTAATCGTTTGAACCAAGGTCCTTCTAATCCCCACGAGAGTGCCATGATCTCCTCTTGAAGCATGGAATGGAAAAAACCGCTACTTCGAGCTGCTTGAAAAGCTAATTTGAAGAAAGCCCTTACATCGCTTGATGAATGGGTCTTACACCAGACACACCTCTCATCTCAGCACAGTGAATTCTAAAATACGATCATATCTACAAAGAGTTTCTCACAACAGTTACTGGGTCCTACCCCAGACACATCTCCCACTTCAGTATAGTGGATTCTCAAATATGATAGTATCTATAAAAAGTTTCCCACAACAGTTATTATGGCAATCCTATCATTAGACTAAATAATTATACTGTACTCAAGTAATAATGTCTTTCATCAAAGGGTCAAGGACAGGAGGGGTAGCATGACTAATTTGTACACAGACATTAATACTGTGCACCGGGGCTGGGAGAGGCGGAAGCTCCAGGAGGTATGACGCAGATGAGGGGACTGTGTGCACACAGCACAGGCCAGCTTGGGGTGGGGCGGAATCAGAAAGGGTAACTTAGGATGCAGTACTGCCACATATTTGAAGACCCAAAGGTCTAAAGTGCTCCACTGACAGCACCAGCAAAGGCCTTTGATATGGTAACACTATCTCTTCCTTCGCCTCTTCCCACAGGCTCAGTGCTGACGGTGGGGCTGCAGACATAAGGGACAGAGGGGGTCACTTCAGTGAAGCAGGGCAAGCCCATGGCTGACCAAACCAAAGCACAGCGTCCTCTCCTCTCCCTCCCAGCTCCCGACCGCCCCAAGACGGAAGTGTGGGACTTACCACAAGTTCAGTGAACATGACGTCCAGCTCCTCCACGGGGGGCATGGGCAATGCTGGCTCCATGGTCTGAAGTGCAAAGTTGCTATCGTTTCGCAGCCGATATGTGATTTCTGGGTGATCATTATTTCGGAAACAGCAAAAAATGAATGAAATCCCCCGTCCACCTCTCTTTCTTGGGGCCATGGCTGAATTCTCTTCTACTTCTTGAGTGACTACACTCTGCAAAAAAAAGAACATGACATGGTTAAGAGTGCAAACTGAATAAAAATTAAAAGAAAAAAAATCAGACCGATTCAAGAAAGAGCCCCCTACACTGGAGGCAATGGCAGTGCCTTGCAGGGCACAGAGAGAATTAACCCCAAGAGGGTCTGAGTCCAGTGGGGCAAACATGTGCCCTTCCATTCATTTGGTGAATGTTGCCAACTGCTGAGCAAACGGTACGACCCTGGTCAGTCCACAGCACTGCAGATGCTGCCATCACACTGGGATACCGGTCATTCTTTGTATTACATGCTCTTTCCTGCCAACCCATTTTGTTGTTATGCCCCCTGCATAAATGACCGTCTCTTCCTTGCCCCCAGAAGATCTCTTACTCATCCTTTATGGTTCAATCCTAATGTACCCTTCTTCACATTCCCCAAGTTGAATTAACAATATGTATAATATATATACTAAGGCATATTTATCCACTCCAGAGAGTGCGCAGATGTGTGTGTGTGGGAGGGGGGGGAGCGACTTGCTTTCTATTATTTTTTAGAGCTGTGGGCAGGTAACCTTGCTGGAGAAACTACAATGAATGCTGAGCACCCTCAGAGAGTAGACTGCAGATCATCAGACGTCATTAATGTCAACATCCTGACAATGTCAGCATCTCCGATTCAGGGCTAACACTACTGCAGGGACATCCTAAAAAGGAACTGAAGGCCTGAGGGGCAGACAGAGGTCTGCATCTATCCTTGAACTGATTTCAGGGCTGAAAGAGGAACAGAGCTGTGTCATCCCCAAGGTTAAATTCAAGACCAATGGGAAGCTGCTACAAGGAGACATAAGAAAGAGCATTCTAGTGTCTGCAAATGGGATAGGACAGGAGTGAGAAGTCCTTGGCTCCGCCTAAGGTGTAACATACCGAAACTATTAGATGGGAGATGGGGGAAAGATTAGAGATTTTCACTAGGTGCTAATTTCAGCTTCAATTCCAGCAGCTTGCTTTGATCCATTTGGATCTTGAATTATTAGTTATTAATTTTATTTTATAAAAGCCTCCTGTGGCTACTCACTGTAATTATAAGAATATGTAAAGGCCATCAATAGCCACCAAGGGTCTCCACAATCTGGCCCCTGTCTGTCTCTCCTCCCAATGTAACCCTCTCTCTATGAGTCACTACAGTTCAACTAAACTGGCCATGCTGGCTCCTACCTCAGGGCCTTTGCATCAGCCATGTCCATAACTGGCATGTTCTGGCTCACATCGGTGCATAGCTGATTCTCACTTTCTCAGAGAAGACATCCCCAACTATGTATCTGCAGTAGTCCTACTGCCATGCCCCAGTCACTCACTATCCCTTTCGCCTGTGTGTTCTTCATGGCCATTACCACTATTAGAAACTGTGGTGGGCAGTCAGACAGACATGAGCATAGCAAGGATGGTGGCCCAGGTACAGAAGGTCACCAGGGTGGAAAGCGCTAGGTACCTAGCATGGGACAACTGTAGGGACAGAGGCCCCATTCCGCTCAGCTCGTCCCCAGGGTGACCTTTCTTCACCTGGCATATTGTTGTTGGTCATGCGGTCTGGACCCCCTGGCCTTTCCTCCCTAGACAGAACATCTAGGTCTCGGTTGTATTTAAGCTACAGAACCAGAAAAGCAGCAAAACTAGACAAAAAATGGCACAGCTGACCTCAGCACCAGTTGCATTGGATAATGCCCCCCTCCCCTGGCACCAGCTTAGACCCTGAAAGGATACACCTGAAAAGCTGAATATTCTACTGAGATCTTCTCCTGTGGCCTCCCCTAAAATATACACCTCTAAAACCCTTAGGACAGAGGCCCCATTCCGCTCTCCCTCCAGGGAGCATGCCTGTGCCTTTCCCCTACCGGCCCCTGTCTCCTTCCCTCCAGGCACGTGACCAGGACCTTCTTCACCCCCAACTTCCAAAGGCCCTTCTTTTGCCCCTGTAACTTGTTTCCTGAGCCGTTTCTTCTACCGTTCATTCCTTCCACCTCTGTGATTTTCTAAATAAATGTTCTCTCATAGTTTGAGTCTTGGCTGTGAATTCTTTCCTAGTCAGAACTCAAGCACCGAGGATGCTGAACCCAGGTCCAGTCTGACCCCACTGGTCTAACAGCTACCTGATCCCACCGCTGCCAACAAAATGATCTTATGTGATTATTTCCTGGGGCAGGGGCCTTGCATATATTGTACTAACCTACTCAACGGGATGTGGTCTGGGCCCTCTCAGCATTTTGTGACTCCAAGATGCACAACCAACAAAGTAATTTGTGATCTGGGTCTTTCTTCCCCCACTGATGCATCAACTCCAAAAGGAAAAGTGCCCACCACAAGTGTTGTTCATACCAAAGTACTTGAGAAATGGAGAGAGAGACAACTGCTTTGGTTTTGCATTTTACAAGTTGTTTCACTTAAACCCAAGTGATATTACATTCTGGCTGTGTTGAGGAGGGACGCAGAGGAAACGTTAAGATCTAAAAATCAGTCCAAAGCATTTTCCAAGTCTTAAAAAATGCCAATAGTTCTATAAACCAAAGAATACGAGGGTCTTGGCTAGTTTCTAAGATGTGTAATAAGATACAGAGCCTATTACATTTAAGGAACTAATTGACATCATTTTAATAAGGACAAAGTATTGCCTTTAGCAGGTGATTTGTGTTTAAATGCCTCAGTAAAGCCCAAAGGCCCAGTTTGATGCCGGTTCCTTTGTGGAACCCAAATACAAGGTCCTCTTTTAAACCAAAACTTGAACTATGGATGATGGCAACGCTGTGAGGTTTCCCACAAGCAACCATTTTAAAAACACATGTCTGGAACTCCACTGTTCAGAGCCTAGTCTCCTAGACATAGACCAAAACAGGAAGCGAATGTAATCGTCCCTCTTGACCCCCTCCGTGGCAGTAAATACGTCTAGCCCGGCAACTGCTCTAGCACTTCACTAATGAGGGATCCCAGCAACCGCCTGTGAATATGATTTTAGTAAGCACGTTCACACCCATCACTTCATTCCATTAGCTCCATTTCACATGTGAAACTTAAGAGGACACTTGGGAGGGAGCTGGGCAATTTGGGAAAGTCTGAGAGAGACTTGCTTTGCTGGTAAAGGCAGAGATGTTTATTCAGAAAGGGCTGATTGGTTGGGAGTGGGACAGGGAAGCCTGGCAGAAGTCAGGAAACCTGCTTGCTTAGTAGGCTGGAATCCAGTCCTCACCCTCTTCAACCTCAAGGTCATGACCTTAGTTCAGTCTACTGCCATCTCCCATCTGAATGACTGCAAAAGCTTCTTCTTCCTTTTTTTTTATCCTCACCGATGATATTTTTTTTCTATTTATCTTCAGATAGAGTGGGAGGGAGGGAGTGAGGAACATTGATGTGAAAGAGACACATTGACTGGCTGCCTCCTGTATGACCCCAACCAGGGCCGGGATGAACCGCAACCGAGGTACATGCCCTTGACCGGAATGGAACCTGCGACTCCTTGGTCTACAGGCCGACGCTCTAACCGCTCAGCCAAACTTGTCAGGGCTGCAGCAGCTTCTTAACTCTTCTCCCTGACCCTGGCTTCTCCAGTCTAGAAGTTGGTAAATCTTTTCTGTAAAGGGCCAGATAGTGCTTTTGGTTATAGAGGCCATTAAACCTCTATCACAATTACTCAACTCTACCATTTTACCATGAAAGCAGCCACAGGCATCTGTGAACATGGGCATGCTTGTGTGTCAATAAAATTTTATTTGTGGACTCTGAATTGTGAATTTCATGTAATGTCATGTCACAAAATATTATTCTTTTTTTGATTTGTTGTACCATTTAAAAATGTAAAAAGCATTCTTAGCTTGTGAACCACACAAAATAGGTGGTGTGCCCATGTGGGCCCTGGGTTGAAGGTTGCCCAAGTTGCCCTAGTCTATCGTATTCACTTAATTCATGAAGTCAAATGTTGATCAAATTACGTGTGAAACACTGGGCTACGTACTTAGGAAAGAGGGATGAAAATGAAATCATGTAACCTCAGAGGGCTTGTTAACTTGGGATAAAGCAGAAAAAATCAAGTAAAGTAAAACAAGTATTGATTATGGTTAGTGTTACAGGGGATGCAAGAAGAATGTGAAAGAAAATGGTGTTAATGGTGGTGATGGGAGCAGACAGCTACTTTAGATGGTGTGATCAGGGAAGGCCTCTCAGAGAGGGGCCTGTAAACGGAGGCCTAATGGATGAATGGACTCGCCCTGCAAAGTGTCAGGAAAGAGGATTCCAGGCAGGAGTGTATATAGAAGCCGGAAGCTGGTGGGGCACTTGGCTTGTCTGAACTAGGGAAGGAAGACCAGTGATGTTGGAGCACAGTGGGTAACAGGAGTGTTCAGAGAGAAGAGGCTGGAGAGGGCAGGGGCCCAGACCCCAGGGCCTCATATACCATAGTGAGGAGTCTGGGATTTATTCTCAGCACATCATAAATCTGATTGTGCCACTCAGCCCTGTACTGTCTCCTGGATACAGTCCAACTTTCCAGCCTGGACCACAAGACCCTTGCCCACAGGCCCCCCACCCCATGCATGCAGTCATCAGACCTTGACAGGAGTCACACATCTGAGCCCACACCTCTGGAGTCCCCTCAGCCTAATATGCTCTTTTCCTTCTTTACCTGACCATCTTCCACTCACATCCAAAACCTACTCAAATACTGCTGCTTCTGTGAGCCTTAAGTTTCCCAGAGACAGGCACATCTTTCTTTCTGCACCCTTAGCATTATATACATAGTTGAAAGGGTTTTTTGTTGTTGTTGTTGTTGTTTTAAAACACAGTGCCTGTTGGGAGAACATATTTGCTAATGATACATCAAATAAGGGGTTACTATACAAAATATATAGAGTACTTATACAACTCAACAAAAGAAAGACAAACACTCCAATTAATAAATGGGCAGAGGACCTGAATAGATACTTCTCTAAACAGGACATACAAATGGCCAAGAGACATATAAAAAAATGCTCAA